ACCTGGAGGGGGGGGGGGGGGGGGGTAGTGCAGCTTCCTGGAGGCCTCCCAGCTCTATTTTAGATTGCTCTGTTAACAGTATCAACTCCATTTTCCCGTTTTGCTTTTACACTACCGTCTTGGCCAAGGCACCTTAAATCTTTAGAATAGAAGTTGGAGTGCTCTTTCTATTGCATCCTCAAAGAAACCCAAAGGATCTTTGAGCATATTAGTGATCAAAACAAAGGAATTTCCAAGCCTTGAAACAGATCCCAATTCTGGTTTCCTGACTAACTTATTCACATTGTCTTCCCAGGTCATCCATTCCTGGCTGGAGAGAATAGATTGAATCAAGTGGATCCCATCACACCCACTGGCAATGCAATGCCAAAGGAAGAGAGACAGAGTCAGTGCACTACGTTTCTCCTTCAAAGAGACAGCCACCCAAGGTCACGGAGAGACTTTACAGGGACTTAAAAGTTACAAGAATAACTTGACACTGACAAACCTGACAAACACGACTTCAAGGTCAGCAGCAACAGTGATAAGTCATGATGTGATAAAAATGGCACTTTACAGTCTTCCTCCCTCAATCCCATAACCCTGGCTCAATCATGTGAAAAACATGAGATAAATCCCCATAAAGAGACTACAAAATATATACCTGGCCAGTACTTCTCAGAACTGTCATCAAAAACAAAGTCTGAGAAACTATCTCAGCTAAAAGGAGCCACAGGAGACATGACAATGAAATGTAATGTGATGTCCTAGATGGGATCCTGGAACAGAAATAGGATACTAGGTAACAGCTAAGGCTATCTGAACCACGTCTGGACTTTGCTTAATAGTGATGCATCGCTCTAACCCTTTTGGCTCAGTGGATAGTGTGTCGGCCTGCGTACTGAAAGGTCCCAGGTTCGATTCCGGTCAAGAGCATGTGCCTTGGTTGTGGGAACATGCCATGGTTGCGGGCACAGCCCCAGTGGGGGGGGGGGGGGGGGGGGTGTGTGCAAGAGGCAAGTGATCAATGTTTCTCTCTCATTAATGTTTCTAACTCTCTATCCCTCTCTCTTCCACTCTGTAAAAACTGCAATAAAAATTTTTTTAAAAAATAGTGATATATCATCCGAGCCAGTTTTCTCAGTGGTGAGAGCATAGGCCCTCACACTGAAGGGTCTTGAGTTCATTTCTGGTAAGGGCACATACCTTGATTACAGGCTCCATCCCGGGCCCCTGACAGGGTACCTGCAGGATGCAAGCAATTGATATGTCTCTCTCATCTTCTTTTCTCTCTCTGTCTCTCTCCCTTCCTTCCGCTCTCTCTAAAAATCAATGAGGAAAAGAATATTCTTGGGTGAGGATTAGCGGGGGGAAAAAATTATAATGATGTATCAATGTTGGTTTATTAATGTATCATACTAAAGTAACATAATAAGAGAAACTGAGTACACAGTATACGAAAACTGCCTATACTATCTTCAGTATTTTTCTTTAAATCTAAAACTATTCTTACTATATTACATATATTTAAAAAAATAAATTGACCATTTTAATCTCTGAAAAATGACAGTAAGGTAAAATATTTCTTAAAATATTTGCATTCAAGAACAAGTTTCAGAATAGAATAAATTATAGGAAAAGTTGCAGAGAAATTGATTTCCCTTGAGAGTAAGAAAATAAAATCCAGTATCTATTCAGTGACAAGGGATCAAAGGAAGAACATGCCTAGGGAGGGTCAATTATTCCAATCAGTCTCCTGCTGCAGAAACCATAAATATAAAGATGAAACTATGCCATAAATTTTTCTTTGAGAAAAGGGAAGTGATCAACAGGTACGTCTAGTTTCACTGCTCTGCTGAGATGACACTCTTTCCAAAAAGGGGAAAAATGAGCTGCCAATGAGAAATCATACAGATGACTAAGAAAGACATCTCAGGAACTTGTGAATCAACTTTGAATGGTAGTAGATATGTGGAGCGTTTATGTCATTTCCCCTCCACAAGGTGGCACTGTAGTCTAAAATATGGTTGCAAGACAAGTTGACAAACAGGGTCCAGAATGACAGAGTTCAAAATATGGTCTATATCAAAGAGGGTTTCAAAAGAATTTTATTTTATTTATTTTTTATTTTATTTTACTTCATTTATTTTATATATATTTTATTGATATTTTAAAGAGAGGAAGGGAGAGAGATAGAGTTAGAAACATCGATGAGTTACAAACATCGATGAGAGAGAAACATCCATCAGCTGTCTCCTGCACACTCCCTACTGGGTATGATGGGCCCACAACCAAGGTACATGTCCTTGATCAGAATTGAACCTGGGACCCTTGAGTCCACAGGGCGATGCTCTATCCACTGAGCCAAACTGGTTAGGGCTCAAAAGCATTTTAAATATATTTTTATTGATTTCAGAAAGGAAGTGTTGTAGCAATATATAGAAATGTTTAAAATTGCTTTTTAAATGTCTAAAAATATTTAAAAGGTTTTAAAATGTTTGAGTTAGCTTTCCTGAAACCTAAAGTGTGATATTAAGAACACATTCCCCACTGCCCTGAGGCAGGTGTATCCTTATAGAAAAGGATTTGAACTTCAGTTACTGACTCAGAGTGACTTGCTAAGATAACCACTTGTGTGAATGATGTACTCTCCCTAGATAACCACATGTAGCCCCTCGCCCTGTTTGAGATTAACATGTGTGCTTTGATGTAATTCATTAATAGCCACTTGAACTGCTTCAGGTATGAAACGGGCTTTAAAAAATAGATCCTGAGAGAAACCAAGATGCTGGCATAGGTAAGTACCTAAACTGCTGCCTCGCAAAAACAATTTCAAAACTACAACCAAAAGACAAAAGGAACATTACCCAGAACCACAGGAAAGCTAGCTGAGTGGAAATTCTATAGCTAGAAGGAGAAAAGCTCACAGAAAACCAGAGGAGCTGCAAAAGGCTGAGGTACAGAGACGAGTGGGCTGCTGAGTGCCTGGCTGGCTTTCTCTACCAGGAAGAAGACAAAAGTTCCCGACTGAGCTGAACCCCAGTTCTGACTGCACTGAACTCCAGTTCCGGGCAAGACCCTGGGGACCCAGGCTTATATGGAGGGAATCTGGACTTTCAGGTGGAAACTCAGGGGAGCTATGAAAGGCAGAGGTCTGGAGGCATGTGCCCGTGAGTGCATAAAGAGAGGACTGACTGCTGAGTGCATCTCTGGCTTTCTGTAGCGGGTGGGAAATGGAAGCTCCCCACTGCGCTGAACTCTAGTTCTGGGGGAGAATCTGGGAACCCAGATTCATTGGGGGAGAAACTGGAATGTCTGACAGCGGGCAAACCTTGAGAGCAGCTTACTCTTAGAGGCGCTTGCAGCAATTACCAAGGGACACTGAGACCCAGGGGCCTCATAGGGCAGGGCTGATGGGAAGCCAAGATTGTCTGCTCAGCCCTGAGTCCCCAGCCCATCCAAGCTGAACACAGAGGCTTTTGCAATTTTGCAAGTCTTGTCGAATAAGGCTGTCTCCAGCACAGCATAGACACAGCTGATCCTCACAGCCAATTGGCCTGGAAGTCAATTCTTCCCAGTGATACCAACAACAATCAAGACTTAGCTACAACAAAGCTATACACACAGTCCACAAAGGGGTGCACCAAGAGTGTCCACCTTAGGTAACTGGGGAGGCAGAGCCACTGGGCCATATAGGACACCTAGCACACAAAGCTATCCTACCAACTCAGGGAAGCAGTGAAAATGCAGCAACAAAGAAACAGATCACAAACGAAAGAAATGGAGGAAAACAAATGATTGGATATAGAGTTCAAAACCATGGTTATAAGGTTTTTCAAGAATTTCCTAGAAAAAGCCGATAAATTTTGCAAGACCCTCAAGGATATGAAAAAGGACCAACCAAAAATTAAACATACACTGACTGAAATAAAAAATATTATACAGAGACCTAACAGCAGACTAGAGGAACACAAGAATCAAGTCAAAGGTTTGAAATACAAAGAAAAAAAAAAAAAAAAAAAAAAAAAAAAAAAAACTCAACCAGAAAAGCAAAAAGAAAAAAGAATCCAAAAAGTTGAAGATAGTGTAAGGAGCCTCTGGGACAACTTCAAGCATACCAACATCAGAATTATGGGGGTACCAGAAAAAGAGAGAGAGCAAGATACTAAAAATCTATTTGAAAAAAATAATGACAGAACACTTCCCTCTACCTGGTGAAAGAAATAGACTTAAAGTCCAGGAAGCGCACAGAACCCCAAACAAAAGAAATCCAAAGAGGACCACACCAAGACATATCATAATTAAAATGCCAAGGGCAAGAGACAAAGAGAGAATATTAAAAGCAGCAAGAGAAAAACAGTTAATTACCTACAAGGGAACACCCATAGGATTGTCAGCTGATTTCTCAACAGAAACTATGCAGGCCAGAAGGGAGTGGCAAGAAATATTCAAAGTGATGAATAGCAAGAACCTACAACCAAGATTACTGTACCCAGCAAAGTTATCATTCAGAATTGAAGGTCAGATAAAACGCTTCACAGATAAGAAAATGCTAAAGGAGTTTGTCAACACCAAACCAGTAATATTGAAGTACTGAAAGGTATTCTTTAGAAGAGAAGGAAAAAGAAAAAGGTAAAGATAAAAATTATGAACAACAAATACATATCTATCAACAAGTGAATCTAAAAATCAAGTGAATTAAAAATCTGATGAACAGAATAAACTGATGAATATAATAGAATCAGGGGCGTAGAAAGGGAATGGACTGACAATTCTAAGGGGAAAAGGGTGCGGGGGTGCAGAAATAGACTGGACAAAAATCACACACCTATGGATGAGGACAGTGCGGGGAAGGTAAGGGCAGAAGGTTGGGTGGGAACAGGGAGGAGGGGAGCTATGGGAGGAAAAAAGAGGAACAATTATAATAATCTGAACAATAAAGATTTATTTTTTATTTTTTAAAAAAAGGTCCTGGCCAGTTAACGGTGATTGCCTGTCGAGACCACCAGAAAGGCATGTCCTTTTACCAGTCTGGCAAGTGAAGTCACTCCATGCTCCTTCTCTGCCAAACAATAGAAGAATGGCTAATATCTTTTGATGGAGATGCAACCAAGTTCTTTGGTGTGGAACTCTGGCTGCTACATTCAGACTGGATCAACACAGCTGCCGGACCCCAGAGGACAGCACCACCAGAACCCCATCAAGCCTGTACCCACAGCAACAGGAACTTTTGTGAGTAATAAAGTGCTGTGTGATTTGCATGTGCTTATGTTTTATGTGGTGTAATTGCTCCAGCAGTTAGTTGAATCATTTTGCATATGCTTAAAATTGAACTGAAAGCTTCTGGTCTTTTAAGTCCTAGGCCTGCTTGAATGTCCCAACACCTGCATGATTAAAGTTTATCAAAAGAGACACCTTAGATAAACACCCCAGATTCTTTCCCAGTATTTACTTGGGACAGGAAGGGAGAGGGAGAGAGAGAAAAACTTAAATGATGAGAGAATCATTGATTGCTGCCTCCTTCATGGCCCACACTGAGGATCAAGCCCCATAACTTGGCATATGCCCTGACTAGGAATTGAACCTGAAACATGGTAGCAAGCAACTCAAGTAGAAAAACAACAACTGCTATTTAATTTTTAACCCTGTTGTTCTGGCTTCTGTAATTATTTGCTTGCTAAAATAATAGAGAAGTTATTTTGATCTCCTGAATTTATATAAATCACTCCATTCGAGTGTATACCCCATTGATTGTGGTGTTACTCGTCTTTCAAAAACATTCCTCTGCCCTTGGAGATCAGGACAGCACAATTGCTTTAATTGCTTTAGTGGCTCCAGAAAATACGTTTTCCATGGACTCAGTGGCCCCAAGAATCAAAACTACAATTAATCTTTGTAGATAACTTGCTCAGTTTAGCTTCTGTAACAAACTGCTTTCACAAACTGGTTCCTCATTCCAAACCTAGAGATGTAATCGATACCTTTGTGATTTTTGGCCTATATAAGCCTGATGTTACTGTCATTCAGGGCTGCAAGTTTTAGAGTGCTATGATGCCCCCTAGTAGCTGCCAGCTTTTGGAATAAATGTGGCTCCTTAATTCAATTTCTTGAGGCATCCTTGTATGATTCTCGGAGTACACTACAACACACCTTGACCTCCAGGTTCATAGGTCAATGCTCAACCATTGAGCCATACTTGTTGGGCTCAAAAACATTTTAAATCTTTTAGTTCTTTTGATCAGTTTATCCTATTGTCCCAAGTAGATCCCAGGAAAGGATCCGGGGTTTTTATCTAAGGTGTCCCTTGAGATAAACTTTAACCATGCAGGTGTTGGGACATTCAAGTAGTTGCTAGTAAAGAGACTACTCTATGCTAGCAGGACCAAGGGCAGGCATAGGACAGAAAAGACCAGAAACTTTAATTTTAGTTTTAAGCATATGCAAAATAATTCAATTAACTGCCAAAGGAATTACACCAATGAAATATATGCAGTTGCAAATTACACAGCACTTTATTGCTCACAAAAGTTCCTGATGCTGCGGGTACAGGCTTGATGGGATCCCAGTGGTGCTGTCCTCTGGGGTCCGGCAGCTAGGCTGCTCCGGTTCGGATACAGGGGCCAGCATTCCTCAGCTGAGAGCTCAATCACATCTCGATCAGAAGGTACTAGCCATTCTTCTGTTGTCTGGCAGAGAGAGGAGCATGGCAAAAGACTGTGCCTTTGTGGTGGTCTCAACAGGCAAGCACCATTGTCTGGTCAGAACCCATTTTTAAAGCCTGTTTTGTATCCACAGCAGTTCAGGTGGCTATCAATGAATTATGTCAATGCACACATGTTAATCTCAACAGGGTGAGGGGCTACATATGGTTATCTAGTGAGAGTACATCACTCACACATATGGTTTTCTTAGCAAGTCACTTCTAAGTCAGTAATTGAAGTTCAAATCCTTATGTGTGGGGTACACATGCTTCAGGGCAGTGGAGAATGTGTCCTTGATATCACACTCTAAGTTTCAAGAAAGTTAACTCAAACCTTTTAAAACTTTAAAAAAATATTTTTAGACATTTTTTAAACTTTTAAAAACATTTCTATGTTTTACTACAACACCCACCCACTATAAACTTCCATGGCTTCAGGAAGTTTATCCAGGTAAAAAAAGAAAATTTCAGTGAATCATAAAAATGATTATGTATCATCTTGTTTTTGATATGGCATTTTTCTTCCCAGAAATCTGAAGGTTTACTGTTAACTAGGTGTGCAGTCTGTATGTTGAAGGAGGTGACATTCATGTTTGGTAGATTTATTACACAGACACGAGTTTTCTCCAAAATATTCAGATGTAGCCGAAGCCGGTTTGGCTCAATGGATAGAGCGTTGGCTTGGGGACTGAAGGGTCCCAGGTTCGATTCCGGTCAAGGGCATGTACCTTGGTTGTGGGCATATCCCAAGGAGGGGGTGTGCAGGAGGCAGCTGATCGCTGACTCTCATCGATGTTTCTAACTCTCTATCTCTCTCCCATCCTCTCTGTTCAAAATCAATAAAATATATTTTTTAAAAATATTCAGATGTAAAAATTCATCTTTCACCCTAGCTGGTTTGGCTCAGTGGATAGAGTGTTGGCCTGCGGACTGAAGGGTCCCGGATTCAATTCCAGTCAAGGGCACATGCCTACCGGGAACATGCAGGAGGCAGCCAATCAATGATGCTTTCTTACCTTTGATGCTTCTATCTCTTTCTCCCTCTTCCTTCTTCTCTGAAATCAATAAAAATAATAAAAAACAAAACATTAAAAAACAAAAAGCAATGACTTAAAACAATAGACATTTACAGTCTATATAGGTCAGCTGGGTTGTTCTGCCAGTCTCACACATACATTTGTGTTAGGTCTGAGTTAAGTAGGTGGCTCTGCTGATCTAAGCTAAGCTCTCACACGATGGGAGGTAGGTTGGTTCATTTCCCAAGGTGATCTCTCATTCTCCAGTAGTCTAACTTGGACTGTTCATATGACAGAGTAAGGGCCCTATGAGAAAGCAAAAGCCGAAAGGCCCTCTGGAGGCTTAGGTCCCAAACTGGCATACCCTCAATTCTACTTCAATCCATTGGCCCAAACAAGTCATTTCCCAACTAAAGGGCTGGGAAGATAGACTTTAGCCCTTGATGGGAGGAGCTGCAAAGTTACACTGTAAAATGGCGTTCTGATGAAGAGATAAAGCATTATGGTTATTTTTGCAATCAAATCCACCACGTTTTTAGTATAGCGTGAACCTGGAGGATGTTTGTAAGGCTAGGTCATATTTTTAAGTGTAGATGGCTCACAAGTGAGATGGAATAGTCTACCATGCAAAAGGGAATTTCATTATCTTCATAATCATGCATTCCTACATTTTATGCAATTATATCATTTGGAACACTGCATTTTAGTGGGGGTTTTATTGCATTTACACACAACACAAATACATATCCTATATAATTAAAGGGTAATATGCAAACAGCAGAATGACCGGTCGCTATGAAGCACACTGACCACCAGGGGATGGACACCCAATGCAGGAGCTATCCCCTGGTGGTCAGTGTGCTCCCATAGGGGGAGCACCACTCAGCCAGAAGCAGGACTCATGGCTGGTGAATGCAGCGGCCATGATGGGAGCCTCTCCTGCATCTGCAGCAGCACTAAGAACCCCTTAGGGGATGTCTGTCTGCTGACTTAGGCTCACTCCCCAGACTGCAAGAGGGTACAGGCTGGGCTGAAGGACACCCACCACCACCACCACCACCACCACCACCACCACCACCAGTGCACAAATATCGAGTAATGGGCCTCTAGTACAGTATATAAAAGTTGGCTATCAATGCTCCAAGGACCTCCAGTAAAACCTGTTGATCATGCAAACCTAAGTTTATTGGATTCACTGCTGTAAGGATCTTGTGGTATTTCAAAATGGGAAAATCAGTGTCAGGGAGGAAAAACTTTTCCTCTACACTCTTATGATTTTTATCTAGGGGTCTGTGGATGAAACTAGCAAAAAACAGATTAACAGGGAAAAAGTCTTAATTTATATTAATATTTACATGCATGGGGTTCACAAAAAAGATAAAAACTGAAAGAAACACTTAGAGTCAGGGGCTTATATATCCTTTTAACAAAGGAAAGAGGTTTGGGCTTCAATGGATTATAAATTAGGACATATCTGGAGAGAATTAATGGGAAAAGAATAAGGTCTGTTTTTGCTAATTCATTTTGGTTTCAACTCACCATCTATAATGATAAGAATCATTTTTCTCTTAGGGGGGCGGAGAGGGGGTTAAGGAATAGAACCTTTCTCAAAGAGAAATTTATGTTCTGCTTTCAAGATAGATAAGTAAAGTTTGAAAGAATGAACTCTCTGCATTTGTTGATTCTTAATTGACTTCAATACAAATTTATCCTTAAGCCAAAGTGGCTTGTTTTGGGGTGGCACATTCTGAACCTCTTTATTGCACAGAGTATTTGTAAAATTTTAGGGCTTGGGCTGGGTGGTTTCAATGTACATTTGCAAGGTAGGGAACCTTCTAGGATTGAACATAGTTTATGGCCTAATAGCTCTGGGCCCAGTGATTCTAAAGTCTTGAAGCAAATCTTGATGAGCAACCTCTTTTCTCAAGTTCACAGTCTTATCTTCCAAGAGCAAGTGGTTCCTGGAATCAGTAGCTAAATGTTTTATGCCTGGTCTCTGTATTGTTTATAATATATTGATTTCTGATCCCAGTATGGTTTAATTCATGGACAGGAAATTAGTATCAGTTTCTATTCTCATATATATTAAACATATCTTATTCAGTCCATACTTTTCTCCAACTCTGGCTGTCTCTGGGTGAAATATTCTGACCTTGCTTCTTAAAAGGAAGAGATGGTTTTGAACTGTAAACAAAGTGGGTTTAAATCCAAGCAAGATAATCACCATAATACTGAAAAAGCTAGCTCAGTTCTAAGTAGGGAGTTAGTTGAAAGACCCAATTTCACTATTTTTGCAAGCAGGACACAGACTCCCACACAACCTCATTTAAAAAATCACTTTAACTTCAGGGCAGCTAGTTTTCTCAACAAGATTCAGTACATTTTTACAGTAACACTGTAAAAAGCTCTGACAATGACAGATTCCAAAAATGAGGCAAGACATAAAACTTAGAATACTACTCATTTGAACATATGGCTAGACACTTTATTTAAAGGAAAGGACAAAGAATTGGGAAGGGTTATAATTAGAGAGAGATTTAATGCACTGATCACAAGAACAAGTAGTTTTCCTAGCCCCTGAATGTTTAGGATAATGGCCTACGACATTTTGAAAAACGGCTGTATTGTACCAAGTCAATAAACAGAAAAAGGCACACTCTGTGAGGAGAAAATTGTGTAAAGTAACATTTTTGTTGCCTATTGACAGGGTAGGATATAGCCTGTGAGTGTTTTCTTTGTTGCTCTGATGGTCATCCCCTCTGTGGGATGGACAACTGCATGGTGAATTCAGCCAATGCTGTAACAAGCTAAGGTGGGTGGAAATCCTGATTATATCAACATGCTAATATAATCAGGAAGGCCTTTTATTCTACCCTACTCCATTTTTTTTTTCCAGAGAGAAAGGGAGAGAGAGAGAGAGAGAAACACCAATGATGAGAGAGAATAATTGATTGGTGGCCTCCTGCATGCCCCACACTGAGGATTGAGCCTATAACCCAGGCATGTGCCTTGACCAGGAATTGAACTGTGACCTCCGGGTTCACAGGTCAATGCTCAACAACTGAGCCATGCTGTGCAGGCTCCATTCCATTCTTCATGCAGCAAAAGCACCATCTTCAACAAGCTAAGTCATGATCTATGTAATTTACGCCCTTTTTACAAAGCCCATCAATGTTGTCTTTCTATATTAGCCTAATTCTATAACCTGGCCCATGGCTGTCTTGTCAATTTACCTTGTGCCAGTTTCCCCAAAACCAGTTTCTCCTTAGTGGAAGGTTTTGTCTACTTCTGCATAGCTGTTCCATCTGCTTGAAATGCTCTTCTCCAAGAAACTTACATGGCTGACTTCTACTCCTCCATCAAGTAGCAGGAAACCTCACATCTACAGAAAGGCCTTCCCTGCCATTCTGGACACCATAAATCTTCCTCAGCCCTTTCAGCTTTCAAATCTCACCTACATCGTAATTACCCTAAATTGTAAGGACAATTTATTGTCCTTCTTTCCCAATAGAACATGACTCCCATGAGAATGGGAACCCTGTCAGTCTTGTTTACTGAAATATCCCCAGTGCCTGTCACTTCTAAATTCAATCAATATTTGTTGAATGAAGTGAATTATAAAAGTGTAGCCAGCAAAGAAATAGAGAAAGGGTGGAGGAAGAAGAGCAAAAAGATTGTATGATCTTATCATTTGAGTACCCAGATCCAGCTGTGTCTGAATACAGTGCCTCTAGAGTTGCCCATGATGTGAGTCCAGGATTCTTTATTTATTGCTTAAGCCAGTCTGGCTTGTATTTCTGTCCTTTGGCATTGAAAAATCACTTTAAGCAAACCTGTAAACCAGGGTCATGGTTTGATTCCTGGTCAGGGCACATGCTGGGTTGCAGGCTCAATCCACAATAGGGGGTGTGCAGGAGACATCCCATCAATGATTCTCATTACTGATGTTTTTATCCCTCTCTCCCTTTCCCCTCCTCTCTGAAATCAATAAAAATATTTTATTTAAAAATCACTTTATGTTCTTGTTGTGGTAGTGGTAGAGGTGCATCTTCTTCAATTTTATTATCTTTCTCTAGACTTTGGTTTTGAAATAGCCATAATTGAATTCCTATGTGTAGGCCAGTTTCTTGTCTGGTTAGAGGTTCTTTTGACAGAGATTCTCCGGAAATGGTTATTGACAATGGTCATACCATAGATTTTTGTCAATTTTGAAATACACCTGTAGACAAAAACAGGTGTGGGTGGAGGAGGTGTAATTTGGGGAGGGGAGATAAATCTGTGACTGTCAGCCATGAAAACTCAAAACGAAATAGAGGATTGTTATAAAGTCCTTGGCTTTCCCTGTGACCCCAGACTTCAATGACTTATTAGAAGGGGTACCCAACTTACACCTCCCAGTCCCCACTTCTTTCAAGCCTCTTTCCTCAAAGCCGCATGAGAATTTAGTTATTCCAGTTAGGAGCCAGCTGCTCTGCATTGGGAAAATAGATAGCAAGTAGGTCTCAGAGGATAACAAACGTGGCCTTGAGTAGAAGGGAGTGGAGCAGATACAGGTCCTTGAAACAGAAATAATATCACGTGCCTTTGGGAAAGAGAAAGATCATAATAATACAAGTGAGCATTCAGAGCCTGGGTTAGGATAGAGAGAGCAGGACTCCCACCCTTTGGGCAAGAAGAAAAGGAAATGGTGGGGTGAGTCTGTAGGGCCCAGAAAAGAGCAACTTAGAGAAAGAAGGGGATAGGAAGAGAAAGATAAAGAATCCATAAGCTATGTCTACAGCTACTTATTGGACCTCAGTAACAGGGATGTGTCTTTACTTCCATCAGCTGGGAAACTGATGTAAAAGGTTTCAGAATTAATAATAAAGCTAAGACATATAGGGCTTACTATGTGCCAAGTACTATTCTAAGTGCTTTTTGGAATTAACCAATTTCAACCTGTCAAAGAAAACCTAAAACTAGACAGTAAAAACAGATTTTACTCCCAGGAACTACTGCTACAGGGGAAAAGAGACTTTAGTGTAAAACCTGGGGCTCAATTCCAAATTTAACAGGGACAAGTAGGTGGGAATATATGGCCCAGGAGCAGGGTGGGGTCAGTGGATGGAAAATCACTGAGCAGAAACATCAGGGATCAGGGGGGATTCTGGCTAAGCCAACCTAACAGGATTCCTGCTAAAGGCATGCTAAGGTGGGGGTGGGAATTGGGGGTTGAGGAATTTGGTTAGATACTAATGGTAATTAAATATCGAGGGTGGGAGATTCCAGCTAAACTGACTTGACTGGATTCTTGCTAAAATTGAGCAATGTGAAGAACACAGAACTGCAAAGTCAATGTGGAGCTGGGAAGAGAGTTCACAATGGTGCCCGGCAGCACCCAGGGAGGCCAAGGGAGACCTCAACCCAATATCTGGATCTGGGTTCTTGCCATGGAACAAGAAAAAATTATGGAGTCTGGCAGAAAGATTTAGCAACGCACAGCAAACTTATTAAAGTGATAGTACACACTCGAGAAGTGAGAGCAGGCTGACCTCGGAGACAAGACGTCTAGATGAGGGCTGGGAGGAAGGTTTTCATTCAACATGGGCAAGGGGTTGGGGACAGGATGGTCCTCAGCTTCTGACACTGGTGGGGTGACTGCCAATAATGCTGGTCCTTGTCCCTCCTCTCCAGATAGCGATTTTATTTTTGTCCGCTCAATTACAAGAAATTGTGGAGAAGTGGGGAAACAGGTGGTCAGTGAAGGTCACTTCTTCGATATTCCAGCCAAGACCGAAAAGGGGAGGGTAGAGTTTGAGGCCTGTGTTCCCTATTCTCATGAGAAACTTGGGAAAGAATATAAAATTGTATACAATGGGGTGAATTGGAATCACAGCTTTGTTAATGGTTCATAAGCCCTGAGGCATATAATACTGTAGGAATCTCTTTCACATCCTTCGTGAAAAGGGTTCCAATTCAGGGTTCGAGTTCTGGAGAAGGGCCGCACACAAATGAAGAGACTTGAAGAAATTCAATTTGGCGATATGGGGAGCCAGGCGGTAGCCAACTCTAGTGAGAAAACTACTCCCTGCTCTGGCCCTGACATCCCTTTTATTGAGGCTTTAGGGAAAACATTTTAAGCAAGATAAACAGAAATGTACATGTAGCCCTTAGGCAGGAAATAACAGAAACTTACATGGGACAAACAAGGTGGAGGCTGCTTCAGCTAACAATGTCTCAACTAAAGGGTGAGTGGTTAGAGCAATTATGATTGTTGACCAGCCTTCCTGGCTTTCTGTCAACATCTCTCTTTTAGTGAAACTGATTTGTTTCCGGCATAATACTCTCCATTTGTTTTGTTTCTTTATAGGTAGTATATGAGTGTTATAAGGGGATTGAGAGAAAACTATAAGTCCATGTGGAAGGAACTTGTCAATGAGGGGTGTTTAGTCCCCAATGAGCTTCAAACTC